CGTATGTGTCATTAGTTTCCTTATGCACATAGGTGTTTTTCCAGAGGAGCCAGAATTTATATTTCCAAATTGCAAAATGCAGTCCGACTATAGTTGCGACTGCTGTACAATGGTTTCCAAGTTTTTCTGCGCTGTTGTGAGTTATGCCCCCTCGCCCCCGCGGATTCTTAGCCAAGAATTGAAAGCGCTAAACTTGAGATATATTTTCAAGGGAACAATCTCATTACCCAAAGTATCTTTAGAAGGAATGGAGCGTTCATCAGCGATCCAGCTCGTTTGAGGCCTCGGAGTGGCGGTTTTCCCCGGGCGCGACCAAGGTACACTCTACTACAGGTATGGACAAACGGGGTGCCGAAGTGGCAGCGCTGAGAGAATCGGCGATCGAGTGACGTATGAAGTCGTACCGTCCATTTGCCGCGCAGGTCTTCGCAGTCGTACTCTCGATGCTGTCAAATCTACGCGTTTTGACGACTTTCTAAAATTCAATTTGCCCATACCTGTAGTAGAGTGTACTTTGGGGCGCGACTTGAGTCTGGAGCGGAGAATCCCGGGTGCTTAAGCGCCGAGCGGCGCGACTCGTGAGGAGCCAGCCCTCTGTGCGGTGCGCCACGGTCCAGGGTTGGTTCGGTGCTTCATCGCGGACAATGGCTCGAACGCTACCCTTGCCTCTACATATAGTGCAATTAATTCCGAATTTCCACGGTCCTACCCATCTCGGACAGACTATAATGTAGAGAACATTAAGTAATACTACATTTTCTATCAATACTTTTGAGTGAAGTGTTCGTTACCTATATTTGTCCGCCCTTTTGCATTGGTTTAAGAGTTACCTTACCCATGAGTCTCCAAAACACTAATTGTAAGTACTTCCTGGAATTGTGCTCTTCTCAGCCGACTCTTATATTGGGTCTAGTAGAAAAGGGCTGAAAAAGAGTTCCCGTTGGCAATAAAAGGCATCGAAGGGTGCGGAAAAGGGTAAGTATAGAGATGGTATCAAAATGACTCAAAAGGTAATAGGAGGGGAAAGAGGCAGTTTTAAGGGAGTGAGATTGGGCTGAAAAATCGCATATTGATGTGAATCAATTACCATAAGTAAGGTCAAAAATGGGATTTTCGATGAACTTACCATCAAGTATATGAACGATTCAACGTGCATTTTCAACCGGAACTAGTGGAATCTATATTTGAATATTATCTTTTCACTCTGATACTAAAAGTTTGAAAATACCCCCCTCCCCCCCTCGTGGTGTGCGGTGGGTTTAGTGACAAGGCAAGCTCTAGCGTTCGTAATCGGAGGGGGGGGGGTTCAACGTAGCCTAGCCCCCTGCTTCCTCTCCTAAGGGAGCCTCCCTAGAAAATTGTTAAAATATAGATCTTCGCGAACCTCAACTTACTCTATTTTTCGGATGAAATGTGATTTAACGTCTTGAAAAACAATGGTTTTATTTCATTCTCCCTTCCTTATGCATGATTTCCATTTGCCACTTTATTTGAGGTATATCCAATCGTTACTCCACAGCGTTAAGAATTTTTTGAGTTACTTAAATTTCGCAAAAAAACATCTCTCTGCGTTTAAACATGCTTGAGAATTGTCTCATTCATCACCAATTAGATCCAAGTGAGCAACATTTTATTGAAATGGAGGATATACTTGCTCCGGAGAGAGCAATCGCAACCGCGACGAGACGGGGAGAGCGAACAGGACAGCGCATCATCTCTCATCAGAGGCAAAAGCAGCGATCGCGCAGCGAGGCGTTCGGAACTTCGGACTCGGACGGAACGTACCACTCTCCCCGCCCACCGTGATTCCGCCGCCGAGCCGTCTGGCTCTCCGCTCAGCAATTCAGCATGCGCTATCGCCTGGCGCTCACAATCAGCCCATCGCAAGGGACACTGCTTAGGCCCCGCAGCGCGCTGCGCCATAACCGTTCGCTTAGCCGCTTTGCTACTTTTGTGGCTGCTTTAAGTATACGTATCTGTCTCTCTCTCTCTCTCTCCCTCTCTCCCCCCCATTCTGTTTTTATTTACTTACTAATACATGTTATCATTTTCTAAAATTTAAAACATGGAATATAGGTGTAATTTTCCTCTTCTGAAATATTTCGGCAAGCGCTGCTTGCCTTACGCTTATTAAGACTGCACGCTACTGACACCCCCCCCCCCCCGCAATTCTATTAGCATAAGTTTGGTCATATACGAATTTTTCGATCAAAATACCAATTAGTTTGCGGAGTTTCAACACGAAATGTCAACCAGGACGAATAATCTATCTATCGGTGAGTACCTTTTCTTTTTACCCCCGAGATCATATGTGTTTGTGTTAACAAATCAACAAAAGTAAGGTCAAAAATGAATTCTACGATCAAAAGTAGCTGTAGTCACCGAGTTTCAACACGAAATGCCTTCAAGAACGAGTAAAATTTATCTTTGAGAAACTTATAGTTTTATGTTTCTACGGAAAGTTTGAAAGAACGCGTAAAATTGTGTATTTGCGTCATGATATTAAGAAAAGTATAAGGTCAAAAATGAATTCTACGATCAAAATAACCTAGGAATACTTTGGTTTAGCACGAAATCCCCAGAAACGAGTGGAATAAGTTGGTTGGTAAATAAGGCGATGACCGGGGCCTGGTGGCGCTTCGGCTCGAGCGAGTGCGAGAACGGAGTAGTGAGCCGAGGCGGATTTCTGGACAAATTTTGTGAATGATCGAATATCGCCACGTCCCCGTTAGAAGCTATGGTAATGAATCGATTGTTCGATATTCGAGCAATCGAGTATTTCGATATTCGATATTCGTCCACCTGTAGTGACCTGTAGCGCGGAATTCAATATGGCGGCTATGTATAATTTTAATTTTAATTTTAATTATAAAAGTGCTTTTTGGGATGTAAGCTCTTGAGTAATGTCACTATTTCAAATTATAAATGATGGAAGCAAGACCAATCCACACAGGTCAGTCATTGCGCATCTTTTTGAAAGCCACTTCCCCGCCCGGCCCTAACTCGGCTGCACTCAATAGTACGTCACAATGGGTGCTCCCATAAGAAATACATTGCAAGCACTCAATAGTACGTCACTGCGCAGTAGAGTACCAAAACTCGTCCACGGGAATGACTGACCTGTGTGGATTGGTCTTGGATGGAAGCTTCCTTATTATTGCTTGTTTGATAATGTGAGGGAGGAGCGCTGAGTCTTCATGAGTTTTTGTTCCTGATGTGCTTAAATCGATTGATAAAATGTTTAATAGGTAAGGGACGCAAGAAATATGTAGCTGATCAGAAAACTTAATCGTAAAGTCGTGTGAGTACTTTCGTTTTCATTTTTGATCGTTTCCTCTGAAATTTTAAGTTTGAATGCTGCCATGACCAGGGATTGATATATAGGTAGACAAAACAAATCATTCAAAGTCGCAATGACCGATTCATTCTGAGCCCTGGTTCACCATTTTTGTGTATTATACTAGCTGTTAATACAATGGCCATTGCTAATGAATGAGATATTTGTTATTTAATGAATTCACGGTCTACATGGTACTTCAATGCACACTGGGTCTGGCTCTCAAACTGCTCATGTTTTGGAGGGAAAATTTTCCATGTTTCGTACAGCGTTCTTTTGTTTCTCAGCCAATTTTTTCAGCAATTTTTTTTTTATTTGTGTCAAAAAAGTAAGGTCAAAAATGAATTCTACGATCCAAAGTCCGCAAGGATCCCAATTTTCAACGCGAAATGCCCACAAAGAACGAGTAGGTAAAATTTATCTTTGAGTACCTAACATATAGTTTTATGTTTCTACGGAAAGTTTGAAAGAACGCGTAAAATTGTGTATTTGCGTCATGATATTCAGAAAAGTAAGGTCAAAAATGATTTCTACGATCAAAATAACGTAGAATTACTTTGGTTTAGCACGAAATCCCCCGAAACGAGTGGAATAAGTCGGTTGGCAAATAAGGCGATGACCGGGGCCGGGTGGCGCTTCGGCTCGAGCGAGTGCGAGAACGGAGTAGTGAGCCGAGGCGGATTTCTGGACAAATTTTGTGAATGATCGAATATCGCCACGTCCCCGTTAGAAGCTATGGTAATGAATCGATTGTCCGATATTCGAGCAATCGAGTATTTCGATATTCGATGCGGAATTCAATATGGCGGCCATGTGTAATCACGAATCATGCAATATTTTCCGCGCAGGTCCCCCCGGCCCTTAGATCGCTCAAATAATTTTAATTTATTTAATCATTAGCGGTTAAAACTGCCATCTTCTCTGCTCATTTAGAAGTATTTCATCAATTCGAGACGAAGCTTTAACCCCAGGGCCAACGAGAATCAAGAAGAAGCCATGGGAAGTGCAGGAACCGAAATTCAGAGTGGATCTTTACAGGTACGAGTCGTTTTTCTTGTATGTATTCCTTTCCATCGCCTCTCCCATTTTTCCGAAAATTTAGTGTAATGAATCGATAGGAAATTGAACGGCCGTTAATATGGGTCCTATGATATTTTCCTCTAAGATTGAAAGTTTAAAAGTATACTGAGGAGAAAGGTCGCTGATCATAACATTTTTTGCCTGCGCCCTTTTTAAAACCCTTATTTTTGGTCTCGAATATTATTTTTTCGAAAATTTTGTGTAATGAACCGATAGGAAATTTTACGGCCGTTATTTCGGGTCCTATGACATTTTCCTCTAAGATTAAAAGTTTAAAAGTAAAATGAGGAGAAAAGTCGCTGATCATAAGAATTTTTGCCTGCGCCCTTTTTAAAACCCTTATTTTTGGTCACGAAAATTATTTTTTCGAAAACTTTGTGTAATGAACCGATAGGAAATTTTACGGTCGTTATTTCAGGTCCCATGACATTTTCCTCTAAGATTGAAAGTTTAAAAGTAAAACGAGGAGGAAGGTCGCTGATCGTAAGAATTCTAGCCGCGGCTTTTCTTCACAGTGAGCCGGTGCGAGAAAAACAGAGTCCAGTGGTTGAGGCGGATTTCTTGCCAAACTTCGTGAACGATCGACTATAGCTGTGTCCCCGTAAGAAGCTATGGTAAAGAATCGATAGTGCGATAGTCGAACAATCGCATTCGATTCGATATTCGTCCAGCTGTTTGAAATTCAACATGGCGACCAGCCATGCATTTTCCCACGCACACGCAAGAACGGTGCACGGCACTGCTCGGCCATGTGCACGGCCGGACTTCAGATCGCTCAATTAATTTTGATTATTGATTTACTTAATTACCAGCCGTTAAAACTGTCATCTTCTCTGCTCATATAGAAGTATTTCAACAATTCGAGACGATGATTTAACCCCAGGGTCAACGAAAACCAAGAAGAAGCCATGGCAAGTGTGGAGAAACCGAAGTTCGGAGTGGATTTTTACAGGTATGAGTGTATGAGTTGTTTTTCTGGTATTGCTTTCAATCGCCTCTATTTCAAGTAAATCGAGGAAGCTTATACAACTGATTCCTCTTTAAGATTGTAGTGAAGTTCCCATAACTTACGATGTTACAACACAACAGATTGTCACAAGACTCCAGTGACGGAACATGTCTTTTTGTCTGTCCCTGGACTTGTCTTGGAGACTCCACTATGGACCAAAATGTATCTCATTATCTCCTCTTATCTTACCTAGTCAATCAATGAATGCAGACCGGTGCTTGAAACTCTGTTGGCACGCTAGGACAAGATAAGGAATGTGTGAGCTTTGCGCCTGTGAGACCTTGATCCCCTAGGCCTGAGTATGCGGATGAGATTTTCAAGGATCGATTCCTGTGTGTGAGACTGAAACTAACTTTAAAGAAGGAACCTCTGTGCACAGTGAAGAGTGTTTAACAGGTTTTGTGTCACAATCCCCTGCAAATAGCATGAACTGTGAATGCTGCTGCCATACCTAATGATCTTCCTAGTTCGGACTCCACTGCCAGGTATTTCCCGCCTAAATTTCCTCCCCAAGAATTGTAACTTCCTTATTCCCTAAACGTCCTCTAACTCTCTCCTTCTTTCTCTTTCATGTCGTATAATCTCTGAAAGAGAGAGTTAGTTGGATTGCATTTTGCAAAAAGGAACCACTAGCGTTGCAATGTTGCTAAGATTGTGCAATTTCTTTTGTCTTGGAGGAAAAACCCGATTATCCCTTAATAGTTTCTATTTTACTAGCTAAAACTGTAAATTTAAGACAAAAATTACCATCTAAATTTCATAGTTTTTCACAATTTCCGCAATTGTATTGCAAAGGATGAAGTTGCACAATCTTAGCATCATCGAAATGCTAGTGGTTCCTTTTTGCAAAATGCAATCCAGTTTGTCTGCATGTAGTCATGCTGTGATAATAAGGCCAATTTCATCATTTTGAAAGCTCACCCAGACCATCTCTTACCTGCGAAACGATAGCTTAGCCACTGTTTCACCCGATCATTTCTCTTTCTTTACTCAATGGGCCAGTTGCGCTGGTAACAGAATCATGTTTTGATGTTTGGTTCCAGTAGATAAGCTCTAAATAAAAAGATCTGTCCCAACAGCAACTCTCTAAGTACCTTGTATATTAACGGAGATATCTCGCCTTGGAAAACTCGATTTATGACGTCATCCACTGCGGTGCCTTGTCCTACCGCGGTGGATGTTATTCGACCAATTTTATCTAATCTCCACCGTAAAGCTTCTCTGGTATTGAATCGTGCAACACTCGAGAATATTTATTTTTGGTTTACAGTGTACTCTCCGTTCTTAATCTAATAGAGTGGGTATGTTTTCAAAACCATTCATTTCTCTAAGTTCCATGTACAACAATGCTAACTTGCCAAGTGACATTTTTATGTCTTTGATGGTTTTTTGCACAAAGGAGTCAATTTCTCAATATGGCGGCATATAAGGTAACATTAACTGATGCCTTATCCTACGTCGACACCTTAGATGAGCTTACGTTACCTGATGATCAACTGTGTATAGTAGCTCAGCTATGCTCTGTCATTTATCAAGCTAACTTTGATACCAACTTCGAAGACCGGTATGGGTTCGTCACTGGCATAGCAAAGTACATTGAAGGAGTCACCGTTCACGCCAGTTTGGGAAGCTTCACATTCCTGCTACTTGACCACCGTTAATCTGTTTAATTGAATGGATGATAAATGATAAATTATGGTTTTTAGAAAAATTTTACTTTTCCAAGATAATTTTGAGAAAACTGAGAGGAAATCGTAAGTTTTTGGCAGGGAATAAATGATTTGACTCTTTTACTCTTACGTAAATCATTACAGAGCCATGCCAGGAGCAGAAACATCGTATTCGAAAAGTTAGTTCCATGCAAGTATTTTCAACTTAACGCAGACATTTTGAAAATAGGTAGAGGCATCTATTTTAGAATAAAATCAGAAATTTATGTATTTCTTTGATGGAAGTTCATATGACCCTTGATTTCAATTTTAAAGATTTCGAACTATCCAAGGAATCCATTGCAGATCGACCTTTAAATGTAAATGTATCAATTTTTGAACCTTTATAGTATTTGCACTGAAAACAGTCAATAGGTTTTTTCATTGAAGCTTAATCGACACCGATTCTGGTCGTTTTGAAAATTCAGAGCTTTTCCATGCTGTGAATTTGAAGTTGTCAATCTACCAATCCTGTAAAATATCTATTTGTAATGCTCCAGAATGAACTTTTGGAAGATGGCTTGGAACAAGTGGTCATGCTGTCAACGTGGCGATGTTGCTCTGGAGCCATGCCACAACCTAAGTCCAATGAGCAGTCAAACTGGGTGGAAATCTATGAAAAGACTGTTGAAGTATTAGCTCCTGAAGTGAACAAGCTGCTTAATTTCATGTATTTTCAGGTGAGCATTCTAATTTTGTCAGTTTTCGACATTCGGTAAATAATTAAAGTGGTGTATTTTAGGTGAAAACTTGCATCACGCTCTCTACCAATGTGTCTGAGAAGTGTAACTGATCTTGTTCGGGCCAGAAAAACATGTAAGAAAAAAAGGATATTTGAATGCTTCCAGCCACAATTTCCACTTATTGCCACAATGCTAGAACTCAGTTTAGGTTATCACCTGTAGTCTTTAGTTATATAATTAAAAGACAAATAACTAAACGAAAGTATATCAATTGCACTGATGAAATGATTAAATTAATTATCTTTGTCTTTAAAATTAAACATATTTATTTAATTAACTAAAATTACTTCCCTCTGCTTTTTAGTTCCGTGCAAAAACTGGTGATGGTGCCCATATTGCACAACTGTGTGATCTTTTATTTATTTAGTATGAATTGGTACAATTGAAACAATGAAAATTGTTATAGTACATGCAAAATACCGGTCACCGTGCCTGAAATTACCTGGCGCATTTAGCAAGAAAGGGGTCTTGGCTGTGGACTTGTCAAAGGTCTTAGTCTTTTTGATTTTCATTCAGTTTTTCCGTCTATTGACTTCCATCTTATTTTTGCCAATATTCATGGGAAAATTTCATTTTTCTAGGATTTATGCCATAGGGTTAGATCTCAATTGATTATACAATGATAAATTCTCGCTTGCCAAATGATAATTACTTTTTTGAACTATTGCCCTGAGAGACGTTTCATGCTTTCAGAGAGGAAACTACCCGCCCGGCAAGTGGTTGCCTGAAGTAGTTGCGGAAATGTTGTCACAATGTGACTGTCAAAAATAATGTTGCGACAACGTTGCAGCAACGTTGTGGCAATGTTATTTTTGTCAGTCACATTGTGACAACATTTCCGCAACTACTTCAGGCAACCACTTGCCGGGCGGGTATCGTGTGAATCTTCTGAAAATTTTCATCTAGAGAAATATAAAATCATGAAGAATATTCAGTCGGAGTTTCAGCAAATTACATACATTTGCTTGATCATAATGGATGAAAAATTGGTGAAGATTCTGAAACACTGCAACTGAAGAGTGTCCTTTCTGTGCTTTGATTTTCTCAAAAATTGGAATTACTTATTAAATCCTAATAATGAATTTGAATTTCAGTCCATCATTCTCTTCATACTTTACTTTCACAACACAACAAATTTCCGGTTCTGGTTTGTCCTTCAAACCAAACCAAGTTTTTTCGTTTCCTAGGTGCTACAGTAGTCTGAAAATGCCCATAGAAACTTCAGAAAAATTGTCTGGTGCTCAGGACACCGCCATTTTGAATTTTTCAAATTTGAGAAAACTCACGATTAGATATTTGCAAATATCTCCTCAACGGCTCATCCCACGATAAAAGCAAAAAACCAGCAAAAAGCACATGAAATTTCCTACCAAAATCACTCTCCCGTGTTTTATCTAGCTTACATTTTTTGTCATAAAATTAACATTTTCTTCAAAAATTAGCTTAAAGAAGGCGCATTTTTGCTGATTTCAGGAGAAACTTTGCTGTAAATCTCCAGCCTTGATTATCTGAGAAAAAACCTGGTACGCTCATTGAAAAGAGCGTAAAATTTACTGCTGGAAAATATATCAATAGTTCCTAATCTTGATTATATTCTGTGAAACAGCAGTTTATTAGCTCGGCCCTTAAATTGTGACCATCTCCTTCCAAAACAAGAAAAGAAGAAGGAAAAAACCTAAAACCGAGGCTCAAACTGTGTAACAATGTGGTAAAACAGTGCTGGGCCCACACTACATGTAGGGAGGGGGGGGGAGAGCCAAAAAGTTCAAACATTTTAAATCAGAGCCAACAATTTTGGGCTCTAATGAGGATCAAGAACAAAACTGATGGGAAGAGTGTTCAGCTCAGACAGTTTGCATTGGACTATTAAGTTGAGGTTACGTTGAGAGATTCATAATTTTGGGTTTTTTTACACCTCATCAGTAGATCACACTAGTCAGTGAATCCAACTGAAAATCTTGCAAAATCCAAGACAGCATCAAAGCACAAGTTCGAGGTACAAGTTTCTGTACTGCAAGACGGTAAGTTTCGTATTAATACTCGTTAGAGCGCACAAGTTTTGATTCTGATCGAAATTTTTTGAATTTTAGGGCTTTTGATCTCACTGACTAGTGTGATCTACTGATGAAGTATAGGAAGACCCAAAATGATAGATCTCTCTACGTAACATCAACTTAATAGGCCAATGCAAACTGTCTGAGCTGAACACTCTTCCCATCAGTTTTGCTCTTGATCCTCATTAGAGCTCAAATTTGTTGGCTCTGATAGAAAATGTTAGAACTTTTTGGCACCCCCCCCCCCTCCATCCATGTAGTGTGGGCCCAGCACTATTTTACCACATTGTTACACAGTTTGAGCCTCGGTTTAAGGTTTTTTCCTTCCTTTTTTCTTGTTTTGAAAGGAGATGGTCACAATTTAAGGGCCGAGCTAATAAACTGCTGTTTCACAGAATATAATCAAGATTAGGAACTATTGATATGTTTTCCAGCAGTAAATTTTACGCTCTTTTCAAGGAGCGTAACAGTTTTTTCTCAGATAATCGTGGCTGGAGATTTAAAGCAAAGTTTCTCCTAAAATCAGCAAAAATGCGCCTTCTTTAAGCTAATTTTTGAAGAAAACGTTAATTTTATGACCAGCAAAGCAAGCCAGATAAAACAGGGGAGAGTGATTTCGGTAGGAAATTTTACGTTCTTTCTGCTGGTTGTTTTGTTTTTTCGTGGGATGAGCCGTTGAGGAGATATTTGCAAAAATCTAATCATGGGTTTTCTCAAATTTGGAAACTTTAAAATGGCGGCATTAGCTAAGTTGGCACTTGTTAAGATTCCACTCGCAAGCATTTGCGATGCAATTGTCCAACAGCAATAAGAGATTGACAGCAGCCGGATCGTGAGCTCAGTCAATCCTCGATTCCTGTTGGATGACTACATTATAGTTGCTTGCAAACGATATGTATTCAAGTGCCAACTTAGCTGACGACACCTCTACCTCAAGTTAGCTGTATCGCTTCTGATTTTTTTACACAAGTTTGTCCTACCTCTTGAAGGAATAAAGTTGTTTGACCAATTTTATATACTCTCCACTTTCAACCTCCTCTGGTTTTGAATCTTGCAACACTCAAGAATATTAATTTTCGGTTTACAGTGTATTCTCCGTTTTTAATTCAGTAGAGTGGGTATGTAGAACAAGAACTAAAGCATTTTGCCATATACCTTGTATCTTTGTAAACTTTATTTGAGAGGAGTTAAACTCCTGTTTGAGGTGACAACTTCAGCGGTAATCTTACTGTATCACTCTCCGCACTGTAGGACTGGCTAAATGATTTGCTATAGACTGTTTACACAAGTAAAAGTAGTCAGCAAAAAATCGATTAGTGTCGTAGTGAGTGGTGTTATTTTCGGAAAGTTGCTTTTGCAACATTAAAAACCTGCCCATCATATTGAAAAAATAAAATAAAAGAATAAAGGAATCTTGAATTAAAGAAACCCTAAGAATTTTGTTGTCTTCTTCCTAATGTAGATTCCTCCTTTTTACAGATTTAAAAACGTATCAAAATGGCTCCAGAGCCACTGGATATCTCGGAGCATGAGTTGCTCTTCAAAGCAACCAATTCATCCAAACTGGCCTCCATAGATTTGTCTCAGGTATGAGTTATAAATATTTTTCATCAAGTAACATTTTTCTGTTAGTCAATGGGAACTGGAATAATTTTTTAGGACAAACAGCTCATATTTTTTCTGTTCTTTTTTTCTTATATTTCAGTTCAAAACCTGTTAGAGATCTCTCCTAAATTGTTGCAGGCTCAAGAAATGAATTTCAAATTCAGAGTATTGCATTAGAAAACTGGTTTTCTCAGTTGATGTGAAGTGTGCTCTATTATAATTAATAATTAACATTTTCTGTATTTTAAAATCCAGGAGGACAGGTCAAGAGTTGAAATATTTGCCGAGTATTGTGCTAAGAAGCGAGAACCTATTTGCGGTCAGTTTTTGAACTTGTTAAATGGAACTGATGGATTCATTGTGAATATGTCTGCCAGAATAATCGCCAAGATTGCCTGTTGGAACCCATCTGCCAATCTACTTGACAGCTCTGATTTCACTTTTACCTGAATCGGTTGAATGGACAATTAAAATTGAGTGTAAGTTAAATGGATCAATGATTTTCTGCTATTACTTCTAATTAATTCAGTAATGCATCTGTTGTCCTCAGAATTCTGTTTCTGCAGGTGCAAAAAGTTCTAAAGCATCTTGCCTTTGCCACATGATCCGGCGGTCTCTACTTCTTAGCAAAATTTTTGATGAGAAAAGAGAGAGAAAAAAAAGACATCACTTTTTTATAATTGCATCACTCGATGCTGATTGTTGATGATTGCTTATTTCCTGTGATTGCTAATTTCCCACGATATAACATAAAATAAATAAGGAGCTAGGTGGCACAATGATGTGGGGGAGCGCAGGTTGTTCTTCTGGAAAATTGATATTTCCATACAGCATACCATAAGGCACTACTGCACCAAATTTCATGACAGTATTTCAAGATTTGAGCAAGTTACAGGATTTTTTTTTTTTGCAAGGTTACGATTCTGTGACAATAATCATCTAGGTCATGACTGTTATCTGTCAAAATTTCTGTACAAATTCTCCACATAGCTGAAAATTGGCTGGTCTTTTAAGGTTTTTTCAATGCACGACCCCATTATAGCTGAGGAAGAGACCCTTCTCACAAGCAGCGATGGTGAAAGTGAATGTGAGGCTGAAGATTCATGATGTCTCGATTGATGAACTCAGTGGAGCTGGCCCTTCTTAATTTTGTCCCCTTTACTCCTAGACATGTACTGAGGGGGCTTATAAACTTATTCAACATAAATATGCTTTTTTTAAAAAAAAATAATAATCTTCTAGTAGTTCCCTTTCCTTGATAGCCTGTAGTTCTCTTGAAAAACGACTTCTGTAGCGCTTTTGTAAATCTCATTGTAAATATGTCAAATACTGTATTTCAGTAAATGCAATGGTACCAATCTCTAAATGAGGGTTTGATCTATCAATTTTGTCTAACCCATGATCTCAAAATCTTTAGTATATAGCTGGTAATCATTAGAGTACCTGTACAGCAAGAGTATAGACAGGTGTGAAACTCAGAAAATTAAATCCATCAGACCTTCACCGATGCCTGCGCAAACAAGGTTAGGGCCCAAAAGGGCAGCCAACCTATGAATTACATACATCCAGAACGATTTATTATTATAATTGTCACAACCTGTTGTTTGCAAAGAACGTATTTGACATAGTTTTTGCATAAATTTACTAATTTTTGAAGAACGCACATTTATGAACATTCTTTGCCATCTTGATTTGAATTGTAATCTGAAGATTGGCAGTGAAATTTTGTGTGTTAAAGAGCTGGCTACCCGTTTGGGCCCTAAACCCTCCATGAAGCAAGCTGTCCATACTCTCAGTATACAGGTACTCTAGTAATCATGTCTTAAACTATTCATCCTTCGTTTTCTCTAACCGCTATTTTCTGACTCCTCCGTTTTTCACCTAAAAGCCTCAAATGTGATGATCTGGAAAGTGTGACTTTCAAAGTAAACTCTTCCAACAAAAGTAAATGAGTGAATCTGCTGAAAAAGTCACCTTTTAAAATTTGAACTTGCATCTAAAAATCCAATCTCTTCCTGAAACAGATAGAACCTTTCTTAAACTTCTTTATCCACACTTTCCTCGTCTAAGTATGCCCTAGTTACTATCCACTTCACTGTGGGCCTCAGTTCAATCTTGATCTGACATCTTTAGGATGCGTTTACTGATTTCATTGAATTTGTTATCTTTTTCAAAGGAGAGGACTTCTTTCTGTCGGGAGATGCTTGCAAGTAGTTCTTCGTCACGATAAATATCGTTTGGCTTTCATCAAAGTTGAAGAGCCTCCAACATTGTTGAAAGTCTTTGCCTCTGGACAAGTAAATTTTCAAATTCAGTATCAACTTATATTCTGTCTTTGGTTACTGACTTTCAACCCTAAATTTGCTCAAAAAATGAACAGGTGAGTATAAACAAATAAGTCTAAGAGTGTTAATTGTCTGTTGAAGAGGAATTCTGTTTTAAAATTCTTGAAATATCAAGTCAGATAGCCTTATCATGCCATGAATGTTTTAAATTTCCTGAATTCTAGTATGCTCATGGTACCTTAGGGTGCGGCTTATTTCTGTCATGTAGGTAAATCGACAAGGTCTGGGTGGCAATCGGTTCTATCTATGAAAATAATAGGCTGTATAAAATTTGAGCCAATTTGAAGCTTTTTTAGATGATGCTCAAAGGGATTAAAACTAAGGGGCAAAATTACATTGGTTTGAATGGGCAGAAAAACGCCTGATCTGCGAAAATACATTTTTGGATCTAAAATGCGCTGAAATGAAGAAAACCTGTTCAGCTCTTAGAGAGACATCCAGGGGCTTATTCAAAACGAGAAAATCACACTTCTGAAACACGAGTGGGGACAGCAGGGTCATAGCATAGCTGGTTTTGAGGTGCCGCGCCCATAGCTACGTGATCGATTTTGAGACTTTCAGATCGAACTTAAAATAAGTGTTCCAAAGTTGGAGAGGCAAATGTATCTCACAACTTGATGAGAAATAATGTATAATGGTTGTTTTAGCCCTTGAGAACTATACTTGGCCCTTTACAATTTAGCCTCCCATACTATTTCTCAAGCCCAGAACGAAATTGGTGTATACTTTTTATCTTGCACTCAAGTGATCCCCCTTACCCTCACCCTTGGGTCAAAAGTGTGATTTTCTCGTTTCAAAGGGGCCCCTGGATGCCTCTCTAAGAGCTGGTCAGGTTTTCTTCATTTAAATGCATTTTAGATCCAAAAAACGCATTTTCGCAGATCAGGCGTTTTTCTGCCCACTCAAACCAATGTAATTTTGCTCGTAGTTTTGATCTCTTCGAGCATTATCTATAAAAGCTTCAAATTGGCTTAAATTTATACAGCCCATTATTTTCATAGATAGAACCGATTGCCACTCGGACCTCGTCGATTTTCCTCCATGACGGAAATGAGCCGCACCCTAATGGTACCTCCAACTCAAATATCAGGTTCGAAGACCAGTTGAAAAAGAACAAGTTTAAAGGTGGAAGCGGTTCGTTAAGAATCAGAAACCCTTCCCTAGAATATGGATGAATGTTTAATATGTTACTAATTAGTATAATTTCAAAGCATTAAACAAATTGCTGTCTACATGGCATTGTTACCAAGTTTAGAACTTTCCAAGGCCGTATACAATGAGGAAAATGTTCTCTATCAGTCCAATATTAAGGGATTAACAAAGAAATGATTAGAGTGTGTAGTCTGGCTGAGAGAAAAGTTCATGCGTAGTAAGAGCAGACAAAAAGAAAATGAATCTACCTCTATTTTTTTTCCTTCACTCTAACATAATTCTGGTTGCTCTTAAATTCACAGATTAGGCGTCATTCCAATCCTAGCAGATATTCTCAGTGACTCTGTGAGAGAAGAAGTTACCCGCATCATCTTGGCTGTATTCAGGGTAAGTTGGCTTTTATACCCACCCATTCTTTTATGCCGGCCCTACACACTTGCCCACAGGGTGCATTCAAAGCATTGATGCCTGATTGATCATATTTTAAAAGTGATTGCAGATAGTTAATTAGTTAATTTAATTAGAGTCATTCAGCATCATAGGCTATTAATGTTTTTACAGAAAACATGAAGGGTGAGTGAAAATAAAAAAATTTAGATTCTTAACTTAATGGAAGCAAAAAATTTCAAAATCTTGGTTGTAACACTGACATCATCTTCGGTTAATTTACAAATAGTTTGAACAAGTATATCTATATCACGCCTGCACTATACTACCGTGCTAAGCAAGAAAGCCTTAAATCCATCAAGATTTTCCCTCGTTTTTTGGAACTTAACACTTTATGAAGTAAAAATTCTCCCATGCACCGCAAATTTTCAGGTTAAGTTCTAGATAGTATTTGCGACAGAATTTTGTGAAAACATTTTCCCAAGGTATACAAGCTTTTCTGCTATAATATATTGTTTCCAAAAAATGTAAAATGGCGTTTTTGCGTTGCACAGCAGTATAGCGCTCTACAACTCCTGATTGCCATAAAAACCGTTTCTGCAACGATTCGATATCTGCAACCGTTCAAAAGTTATGCCCATACCCAAGTAGCATTTTTCAACGGAAAAATCGCGATTTTATCGCCGATAAAGTCGCGATTATCCTCGATTTTATCGGCGATAAAATCGTTAGGATCATCAACATTTGAGCGATTATCCTCGATCTTTTCGCGATTTTATTGCGATTTTATCGCGATAAGATCGAGGATGATCGCTCAGATGTTGATGATCCTAGCGATTGATAAAATCGCCAAAAAAAGGGGGTTAAAGTTGTCAGCCGATTGCCGTTAGGTTCAGCCGTCAGGTCCTTTGACGAAGACGAGCGTAAAATCCCCGGAGCCTCCGCGGGGATTCGAACCCCAATCGCTTCGGTGGAAGGCCAGCACATTGTCACTATGCTATGGCCGCTATATGACTTGCGTGTGCGAATTGAAGCCTCTTATACATGGATCGGCGCTTCGCAACCTCACAACTTATGTCTTTGCGTTGACTGACACCAATTTTTCATTGGATTTTTTTTTTTTTAAATTTTCCCTCCTCTGTATTTTATTTCATACCTTGAAATACGGTTGGTAAAATAAGGTTCTATTGGTAATCTCATCATTCTGTCTCTGTAAAATTACCAATAATAGTGAGATGGCAAAGTTACCGATGGACCTTGGGAAAAACGCCAATAGTTTTTATCGACTGTGGTAGAATTACCGAGATAAAATGGTAAAGTTACCGGGGATTGATTACCAATAAAAGTGGTATTCTTACCTGAAAAAATCAGTAAAAATACCGGTTTTCAGGTAAGCTTACCAGTCTGTCTTTGTAACATTATACTAATGATTGATAAAAAAAAATGAGATGGTTAAGTTACCAACGGATCTCGGTAAAAACGGCGGCGGCGGAATAGAAAAATCTTTCATATG